TCGGGGACTTTAAGAGGATGAAGGCGACGACTCGGGCTCAAGCCACAAAAGGAATGATGGGTATATCGTGGAGAAACTAGAAAGGTGGTATGGAGGCATTTGTATGTCCATCCGACCCGATAAGGAAGGAGAATAACATCCACGTCCACGATCGGTACCTAAATCAATGTCCTCACCGTATGACATGGGCCACTAAGGCTAAGTACATCCCTTACCTCGAGGTATTTTTCACCCGCACACTATTTCATTCATTAGTATTAAAATAAAATATTCATTACATAATGCTACCACATAACATTCATATTACCATTAATAATTTTAAATATATTTAAAATTTTCTCTTCAAAACAAGGACGGTACCTCGGTATGCTCTTTACTTGAATTAGTAATGGGATCCATATAATATATCAAAACTTCAGTGTACAATTTGAATGAGATAGATTGTTTCAAATTCAAACTAGTAATTGAGGTTACACAAAATCGGAGCCAAAAAAGAAGATACTTTTCTGATTAAAAGGATTCTATCAAAGAAATTAAATTCATTTTGTATCGTACAAATAAGAATTCCATTTGTGTATGTGATACCGGGAAAGATAGGGTACTCGATTCGATTTCATTATACGGATCGGGAGTAATCGCAAAGACCAAATTCAGTGCGGTATATCTTGGAATCCTAAATATGACGCTAACAATAATTGTACTAATCCCGAATATGGCCATAATATTGAAATAATGTGAAAAATTACATAAGGGCATAAAATCAGCCTAGCCCAACAACAAGGGAGGACAAAGTTGCCTAAACCCTTACTTGCTACTCGGAATTATATAAAATTCTAGTCGACAATATTATGGGCATTGAATATAAAAATCAAGATTACATAATATAATAGTTAAGATCTACCATATCACTAATTAGTGTCATGATCATCATTTTCACATTCTTCATTTAAGTCTTCCTCAACATCTTTTTCAAACTCAACTTTATTCTCTACATTAATTTCACTATCTTCTAAATCGAGTAACACTCTAATTGGATCATTCAATAAGCAATCATCATCATCAATAACTTGGATGACATTATGTTGGCATTCCATTTTGTTTTCTTGAAAGAGTTCGATAATTGTTTGGTCGACGGTAACGGACGATTTGGACACATCCACAATTGGCCTTAGTTTTACCTTATATACCGCTAACCAATCACATTTAATGCACTTCGATGTTGGATATGTTACATAATACACTTAATGCACTTGTGTTACTAGTATGAAAGGATTAGATTTATTTGACGTCCTACGACTATTGACCTCCACTAGTCCATAATGATCATGAACTCTAATAGCACTAGGTGTTGTATCATACCAATCACATTTGAGCAATATGATTTTCTTAATTGGTAAGGTAGGATGCTCAAGTTTCGAGTATATCGATCGACTCTACCGTAGTAGTCATTTTTCATCATACCATAGCTAACTCTTTTTAAATGCACGTCACTACACATTGTTGATGTCTCCGAACCATGAACATTAGTGTGGAACTTATACCCATTCACAATGTATTCTGGATATGACTTAGCCGTTCACAATTGTCCTTTTGCAAGATCTTTGATATAATGATAAGTTATCGTATTGGGTTGTATATTACTAGCTAGTAAATATCGGATCCAGGACTTACTCGTTAGTATAACAAGTCAAAAAACTATTTGAATAATAATAAGATCATAAATTTATGTTACTTACATATCAACAAAACCAGGATGCAAAATTAGTTTCAATTCGAACATCTACCTTGTTCTTCGATATGTCTAGATCACTTTCATAAATTTGGGTAATAAAATATCTAAAGAACAAAAAAATACTTAATTTTGTGCTATTAAAATGATTGATACTTAATTAATTAATTTTGGTATTGTATTATTTTGTAGTTATATCACTTACTTTGTGTAAGGTATGACCTCATCACAATTTAACAAAATATAGGTATGACATGTATTCTTTTCTTCATCTCGTCAAGATATGTGATCTTCCTTGACCTAGTGGTCTACCTTTGAGTTTGAATACCGCAAGCATTCCTTCAATGTCATCATTTGGTTCTCGAGGATATTAAAATTTTTAAAGTATTTTTTGATGCCTAGTGTGTACATAAGGTCGGAAATAATAGGAACGAACATTGAGGCTTTTTCAGCTAAATATGTATTACATATAGACCCTTCAACTTTGGCTTTATTCTTAACATTGTTTTTTAATTTTCGAAGGTATCTATAATATGAAAATTGCATTATACTTAACAAATACTTTTAAGAGTTAATTAATAGCATATGTACAAAATAATAATATTTACCTTTCAAATCGATGCATCCATCAATATTGTACTCGGTCCTCCTATTTTTGCCTCATACGCCAAGTGTACGGGAAGATACTTCATGGAGTTGAGAAAACCGGTAGGAATATACGCTCTAATTTACATAGGATTATAGGTATATTTTTCTCAAGACGGGTCATATCTTCAACCTTAACGCCAGCAGATGTCAATTCCTTAAAGAATAAGCTCAACTCGGTTAGTGATTTCCATACATTTATTAGTAACATGTCCCAAAATGCAACAAGTATTAATCTCCGCATAAATGCATGACAGTCATGACTTTGCATGCCATGTAATCTAAGGTTATTCATATCAACACATCTTGCAAAGTTTGAAACATATCCGTCGGGAAATTTAAGTTGTTTAATCCATTCAAACAATTGCATTTTTTGTTGTTTGTCTAGAGTGTAATAAGCTTTTAGGTATTTTCTAGACTTTTTATCTATCTCTAATTCGGGTCATCGATAATATAGCTTCAAGTCTTCTCTAGAATTTGCGTTGTCTTTTATTTTTTTCGACACACTCATAATTGTATTAAAAATGTTATCGAAGATATTTTTTTCAATGTGCATCACATCTAAATTATGATGAATTAAATTAGAACTCCAATAAGGTAGATCCCAAAATATACTAAATTTTTTACAACCATAATATCTAGATATATTTTTGTTCCACTCTTCTAAGCCCTCTTCTTTTACTTTCAACAACCTCCAATGGTGTAATTCTTGTAAAACATATGTTCTAGACTTGATCGGAGGAGCAATGTCCGTAACAATAGAATTTTACTTGGATGTGTTCTTGTTCGGCTAAAAGGATGGCTTTGTGGCGAAAATTGTCGGTGACAATCAAACCATAATGTCTTTCTCGCCGTTACGGACGCCGAAAGCATTAGAATTTTTTATACAATATGGACATGTTGTTTTACCCGCGATACTCCAATCCGATAATATTGAGTATATAGGGAAATCACTAATTATCCATATGACCGCAACTCTCATATGAAAATACGAGACACATCATAGGTAAGAGCACATACTTTCGATAATTCAACCAACTATTTAATTAGGGGTTGTAGGTATATATCTAGATTGACTTTAGGATTTTTAGGACTCGGGAAAATTACGATGAAAAATATATATTCTTATTTCATGTATTTACATGGTGAAAAATTATAAGGCGTTACAATTACGGGCCACAAAGAATATTGTTGTCCAATTTGACCAAAAGGTCGAAACCCATCGGTGCAAACACCTAATCCGACATTCTAATTTCAAATGCAAATGAAGGATGTGTTTCGTCAAAATATCGTCATGCATAGGATTCGAACAATGACGCATGACATTTGGCTCAACTACATGTTGCACATGTCACATCATGTCGCCGACAATAGCAACCGATGCATACATCCTCTCGTAATCGTTGCGTTAGGGGAAAATAATAATTTCTTTTTATACGGGACATATGTTTCTCTAACCGATCCTCGCTTAGGCTTTTACATATTTTACAAATGATTATTTCGCTATCTTCATCCTAAAAAATCATGCAATCGTATTATGCAACTATGAATTTTTTCAACAAGTAAGCAGATTGGATTTATTAGCATATGTAAAAATTTTCATCCAAAAATACTAAAAATTATTTTTTTAAAAGGTTTTTTTTTTTTTTGGTTATAATAATAGTCAAATCAAATGGAGGAAAATTTTGCTCAAAGCATGATAATTCAATGTTAAAATTGACCAGCTTGATAGTATTGGTTTCGATGTGCATTAACCCTAACAATTCAATAATTCATGAGCAAAAGTATCATTAAACCCTTCTAATCTATACGAGTTAGTCCTTCTATTCAATTTTTTTTTAATATGGTCCCTTCATCCAAAATTATTTCTAATTTACTGTTAATTCTTGATATATGCGGCCTAGCATGTGCTAGACAAATGTCTTTTTCGTTTTTTTTTAACATGATTAAAATTGAATGATAACTAGGGTAAAAATTAGATGTAAAGACCATATTAAATATCTTCTTCAGTTAATAGATTAAAAAAAAAAGTAACGGAACAACATTATGAAAATGTGAAAATTATAAAGAGTAAATGTACCACTAACCTACTTGATTATGTTTATTAAGTATTGTGAATAGGAAATTTGGAATTGAGGTCCCAAATTTGCAAGAAAAAATACATAGATAAATACAAAAGAAAAAAAGGCTCCTAACTCATCATTGTAATATAGCGTTGAATCAGAATTGTATGATAAAATTCGGTTTAATGGCATTTTCTGTCTCTAAAATATTACAATTTGACAATTTCAAAATCAATGTATCAAAATACATAATTTAAACTTTAAAGTATAAGGGATTGTACAAATTTCGAGTCCAATATATGCCATTAAACCGATATAATCTTTGTTATAAAAAGTAAGGAGGAAGTTGGGCAGACATGGGGACCACAAAAGGACAGCGTTACTTCTCTTTGACGTTCGTAAGATTTTGATTACCATGGAAGCAAGGAAGTTGATTCAAGTGAGCTTTATTCCATTTCTGATAGTATAAATTGGCATACCAAATATGCAACAAAGACACAAGCCAATCTTCTCTACTTCTGCCTCATAACCCTCAAGTTTCCTTTGCCTACAATTAGCTCCCGATGGCATCCGGCCTTCCCCTCAGGCCCCAAACCCCAGCTTCTAGTCAGCAACTGATCAGGAGTGACCGCGGCAGCATGTTAACAATGTCTGATGACAATGTGATGATGAAACAAATTTTAGCAACTCATGCTCCTGATGGCCGAGAGTTTGATGTTAAACTTCTTCTCCAACATGTTGAAGACATCCTCAAACGTGCCACCCTGCAAGCGCAACCCGATACCTCTCAGACGGTATGGCACTAAACTTATACTTAGAAATTAAACTGTATATACACTGTCAGCTTTACTAAAATAATAAAATTTCAAGTACCGTGCAACTAGCTAAAAATGTATATCAACTTAAATCTGTTAAATTTTTTTCCCGGTCCCTGATCACGTCTGATATATATAATGCAGACTTCCGAAATCGAAGCTGAAACGGATGCCCAGACCCTCCATTTCACTTTCATTACAATGTTCGATGCACTGTCGTATATCATAGACAGAATTTCCCGCGAGGTTATACAATTATATATTTCAATTTTCATACTATGATGAATTGGCAACTGCTAAAGAATTAATGATGTTTTTTTAAAATTTTCCCATTTAATTTTTTGTGGCAGATTGCCTATAAGGCACTCAGTGGGATAGATGCCCACGCAACAACTGTCTCGCTTTTCGATATGCTAGAAAGCTATTCCTGGGATGCCAAGCTGGTGCTCACCTTGGCAGCTTTCGCTTTGAAATACGGACAGTTCTGGTTGCTTGCCCAGATTTACTCATCAAACCCACTTGCCAAATCTATGGCAACCCTCAAGCAATTGCCTAGCATCCTGGAGCATTCTGGGCCCTTGAAGCCTCGCTTTGATGCCCTTAACAATCTGATCAAGGTCATGATGGATTTGACTAAGTGCGTGGTTGAGTTCAAGGATCTCCCACCTTCTTACATTTCTAGTGAAGTACCAGCATTGTCCACAGCCGTGGCTCTTATCCCTACTGCTGTCTACTGGACCATAAGGAGTGTCGTGGCTTGTGCCGCTCAGATTACGAGCCTCACTACCATGGGACATGAGTATGCTTTTCCTAGTCCACTATCTTTAATTTATTAAGCCTTGTTTTACATCTTGTATCATTGTAATAATCTCTTTAATTCACTTATTTTAGGCATACAATATCAACCACTGAGGCATGGGAGCTATCCACCTTGGCTCACAAACTCACCAACATACTTGAGCATCTCAGGAAGCAATTGGCTACTTGCCATCAACACATAGGTCAACCCCTTAGCAACTTTTGTATAATTATGCTAACATGTGTTGGATAGGTAATAAGAAATCAGGAAATTAATGTACGAAGGATCGAAAACGCTTATAAAAATAATGGTGTTGGATGCAGATGAAAAGAGGAATGTCGAAGACTTTCAAATGCTTCTGAATCTCTTTGAAATGATCCACATTGACAACATGAAGATCCTCAAGGCCCTGATTTATGCCAAAGATGACATGCAGCCACTTCTAGATGGCACTTCCAAGTGAAGGGTTTGCTCTTCTACCATTTCTTCTACTTACATATGCAGTACTAATATGCGATCAAGCTAATGCAGATTATTTCTGATACTTGCTATTGAATTTAACAGGTCCATCTTGAAGTGCTGAGAAGGAAGAATGTGTTATTGCTCATTTCGGGCCTAGACATTTCGAACGACGAGCTTTCAATACTTGAACAGATATACAATGAATCCAGGCACCACGGAACTAGGATGGATAGTCAGTATGAGATGGTCTGGATCCCAATTGTGGACCGCTCAATCGAGTTGACTGAGCCAATGAAAGAAAAATTTGAGAGCCTGCAGACTTCAATGCCATGGTTTACAGTGTACCACCCTTCATTGATCGAGAAGGCAGTCATTAGGTTCATTAAGGAGGTGTGGCACTTCAGGAACAAGCCTATTCTTGTGGTGCTTGACCCTCAAGGCAGGGTGGTTTCCCCTAATGCTCTCCACATGATGTGGATTTGGGGAAGCAATGCCTTTCCTTTCACTAGCTCTAGAGAGGAATCTCTATGGAGGCAAGAGACATGGAGGCTTGAGCTTCTGGTTGATGGCATTGACCCAGTGATTCTTAATTGGGTAAATTCATTAATTATAGAATCAATTCAAATATACATGCATTAAACGCACTTATAATAAGCTCTTATATATATATATATACACACACACATAGAGCTAGACTCATGTTAACAGTTGCTGCAATATTTTCTTTATCATCAGATTGAGGAAGGAAAGTACATTTTCTTGTACGGAGGGGACGATGTTGAATGGGTAAGGAAGTTCACAAACACAGCACGTGGTGTTGCGCTGGCAGCCCGTATTCCCCTAGAGATGGTTTATGTGGGCAAGAGCAGCAAAAGGGAGCAAGTCCGGCGAGTCATGGCGACAATCGCGGTGGAGAAGCTCAGTCACACCTGGCAAGACCTTACCATGATATGGTTCTTTTGGACCAGGCTAGAGAGCATGCTGTTCTCCAAGATTCAGCTTGGCAAGATTGACGAACATGATCCTATGATGCAAGAAATCAAGAAGCTGCTTAGCTACGACAGAGAGGGTGGATGGGCTGTGCTTAGCAAGGGGACTGAGGTTGTGGTCAATGGTCACGGTACCACAGTTTTGCCAACACTGCTTGAGTATGACTTATGGAAGGAGAATGTCCCTGTCAAGGGCTTTGATTTGGCCTTCCAAGAGCACCATGGCAAGCTCCATGACATTGCTCACCCTTGCTGCCGCTTCGATTTCCCAATGACTGCTGGTAGGATCCCTGTGACCATGAAATGCCCTGAGTGTCACCGCACCATGGAGAGGTTCTCTACTTTCCTTTGCTGCCATGATGAGGGCATTCCAGACGTGCTATTCCAGTAAATGATCGGCTGCTACACTCCCTTCGAGCTCATATTGCTCATTTAGAATTTTAATTGGACTCTGAAGTACGCTTAATGAGTAGAGAATTTTTTTTAAGATGAACAAGCTAATCTGCTGTGGGATCTGCCTCTTTATAGATGTGTGTGATCTGAACCTTCTGAAGTAGCTGACAAATCGTGTATACAATGTGACTATAAGCACCATGGTGGTAGTCACGGGAGGACAATAAATCGATAGCTACCTTCGAATTAGCTTACATTTGAACTTTTCTATATCCTGCAACCTAAGCCATTTGCAATCCGATAAGAAAGCCCCAAAGTTCAGCACAAGATTGAACAAACCCCAATTTCGTAAGAAAAACCATGTAACGAGATGTCAGAATCATCCCTTAGAACTCTGCTCACTAAGCACTATCACATATCAAACTTTATGTAGCGAATGCAAATCGGTGTAAATAATTGAAAACTGCTGCATCACATATAATGCAACGGTTTATCTACCGCTAAATCCAATCGACACCGCAGTAGATTAATATAATGGTTTTTATGTACACTAGCAACACATAATTTTTTGTTACATCATGTCCTCAAAATACAGCGGTTATTTCATACTTTAGGCAGCAATTTTGAGTATAATAAGCCATGGGTTTAAGTAAAAATTTATGCAACGATTCTCATCATATATGCTATGGTTTGATAGTTATTTTACGCAATGGTTTTTATCGGATAAGCTAACGGGTTATGTAATATATTATGTAATAGTTTTTAAATCATTTGCAGTGGCCTTTCTATTGTATTAGGCAACTATTAGTTTGTTTTAATGCAACAGTTTTTTCATATGTAAGCTAGCTCTTTTCATCTATAACACACTAGTTTTATATAATCCAAGTAGTTTCTTAAAGCAATTTTTAATATTAATTAATCTATTACAAGAAAAGTAATAATTTAAATATCCAAAATACATGAAAAATCACAAGAAATACCAATGTTTGGGGAAAAAAAAAGTTCGAAGTTCATACTTTCAAAGTTCATACTTTGTAAATTTAGTAGACTAAAGTTCAAATTTAAAAAAAGCATAACAAGAGACTAAAGTGTCAATCCTATAGTTGCCTTACAATACTAGGCAATCTACAATTTTAGGACAAAAAAGGTTAGTACTCAAGTACACTAACTAAAACAGGATGGATTGAGAAACAATTTGACAAAAAGAATAGGCGATAAACATGTCCACGAAAATGTATAGATATGATCAAAGATTAAGCACAATAGCGTCAAAGCAATGAAACGAGAAAATGGCAATATAAAAAGAACGGAAAGGAAACAAGCGAGTGGGCATAGTAAACAACCATGGCTTAACACCGAAGCCTCGCTAACATACTCCAACCCATAGAGATAAGCATAAAAGGTTATATTGTTCCCGATCCAATCGCATAGAGTAGAATTGAGGGAAGATCCATAATTTTATAAGCTCTTAATATTTCTTAAGATGTAAAAAAATACATGTCATATCCTCCAACAAGAATAAATGCAAGTCCCCATCCAATTAGCTTCTACCTCAAAAATCCCTATAGAAGCATCGGTATCCTCATCAAACAAACGAACAAATCAAAAGATTTGAGGAAAAAAAAAACAAATAGACAAGTTAAAAAAAGACGAACCCTCATAGTCGATCAACAAATGCAAAAAAGATAAAATAGAAAATTGATTATGGGGAGTGCTATGATAACTAACATAATCTCACCTCTATACTAGGCATAACAATGTATGCCCTTTAATCTAATGTATTGCCGACCTTCATATATTAACGAAACAAAGGAATGCATCCGGCTACACAACAATTTCACAAAGACATAAATTTACAAGCAGGTAAAACTAAGGAGAAAAAAACAAACTTTTACTTTGAAAATCATATAATAGGAGAAGACTAAAGTATTCAAGTTTTTACCTAGCATAAAATCACTCCTCCAAACTTCACCCAGTTAATCTACAAAACAAAACAAAAACACCATACCAAGCAAAATTACAAAGCCAATTGTATTAAATAATAAATCTGTGATCATAAGTTTCACAAGACAATATAAAAAATAATGCATCTCGTAACTTGACATGTTAGAAAGGCAAATTGGGAAGATTCTTATGAGAGAAGGAGCGAGAATTCCAATAAATCCATCATTTGGCGTAGGATTATGAAAGATTATACTAGTAACGACCTTGTCGAATAACCACTACCGTACACCCACTTCATTTTCAAGGATAAAAACAATCTCCATTTCGATGGAGCCAACCATGAAACGCATAGAACCCGCAGTTTACTTGGATATTAGTTCCATGTAGCATACTAATAATTAACGAAAAGTGTGCTCATAATTTTATGCAAAAGATAAAAAGGAATAAAATATTAATGAACTGCAAAACTAACATAGAGTTGTATAAGCCATAAAGATAATAGAGTTTTGATCACCTTACCTAGTTTTGTAATAACATTTTCTTATGGCTTCAGCATTATCTTACCATGCAAAACTTAGTACGAACAAAGAAATTTAGAGTAGAAAACTAAAAAGGAGTAGCATATAGCGAGGGATAATTATTATAAACTCTTGAACCACTTGAGCTTTACCATCGAAAAATTTGGAAAGGAATCATAGAATCTTGATTACTCTACATCACATTATCCCTCATGAGATTATGTAGTGCATGTAGTGCTAACAAATTCAAATGTAGAATCTTAAAAGCAAAGGAGGCAATATAAATTGGTGATCATTGGATCAAATTAGACTTGAAAAAGAGGACCAAACTGATGATACCAAACTAGGACAACCGATATCTACGGGACTAACAAAATAAACCACACATAAATTTTGTTGCTCTCCTAAATGAAACAGTGAAAACAACTAAAGCAAATATTCCAACACGAACTTATATAGATAAACACATCACCCTATATTGGTTTCTATCTATTTAATCATCAATCATATAAAATGTATGGTGAAATTTCATTAAAAAATTATCCATTAAACTACAAAACAATAGGAATTACTAAGATAAAGGGGTTATAACAAAAATCCTTGGTAGAAGTGAAGATAATGTCCCAATTGAATAATAAAGTCTAGATTCAACAAAAATCCTCCATAAGAAACAAAATTTATTAACAAATTGAATGATATTGAACAATACCTAAACCTAGAGAGAGAAATTGAAAGAAAATTATATCCTTGCATTAGTGTATTTGTTAATACTTGAGATGAAAAAAAAATGAAGATAGAACTTTTTCCTTGATGAAACTTCACCCAATCCTTAAATGAAAAATCAAGAAGAACTTTTCCCTAATTCATGGTTCTCTGGACTTAACCAAAACCAAGTCTAGAGAACCTTAAATCTAGTGATAGATTGAGAGGGTTTTAATGATAGGGATTGAATCCAAACTAGGGGGTGAGGGATGAGAAAATGAAATTTAGTGTAAAGATCGAATGCCAATCTTTAAAAAAAAAACCAAAAAATAAAATGATGTCATGTTTAGGTGGATCTTAAAACTCTTATAAGTAATTACATAAAATTTTGGTATGTTGTTGTTTAAATAAAGAACAACATATTTAAAACATATGTAACTTGTTGGACAATGATTTATGTAGATTAGTTCATTACAACAGTTTTGAACTATTGCTAAACTCGTTGTCATACATTCATATTAGCAATAGATTTAGAGCCGCTACTAATTAAACATTGTTGTCTAATATTCAATATGCGGTAATGAAATACCAATAGAATTACATAAAGATCCATCCGTGTTGAGTTTAATCCATCTTTATAAGGTTTCTACTAGCCTATCGTAACTTCGCTTTATGCATTTAGGTCTTCCAATAGTGTAATATTTTTATACTAGTAGTGTAAGAAAAGACTATAGGAATTGGACTACTCGAAGGTATGAAACCCTCATCGAACAACAATTTTTTTCACCAAGACCATAGAAATGAACCCCTAGTGCCAAACCCCGTGCTCCATGAAACTAAAAGCAATCTTTCAACTCATGTAATATAGTCTCCGAATTAAATTGATACATAGAACATGTGGAATTGAATGCTCGGACCATATCTAACCCATAAATACCATAAAATATATTGAACTCCCTATGGACCACTCCACTTCTAAATTAAACCTCACTTATCTATTGCACTAGTAGTTGTGTGTTGTACCAAAGAATGATAAGAAGACCTGGTAGAAATGTTATCACTACTAATAGAGGACCAATATGGATAATCCATGTTAGCATTATCACGAGTAAGAAACGTGCTTGCGATACATAAGCATACTCGAAGAGGGCAATAATTGATTGAACTTTATCCAAGCACCAATCACTCATGTTAGTTATATAATTTGAGACACAATCATAAATCATTGCCTTCAAGGTAAAATTAGAGCAATGTTCATGGAGGGGCCCTACATTAGAAATCCATACATCACTCTAGAACCGGTCCCCTATACCATCAACTATGATCCAACTTATGCCAAAACAAACAACGAGCCATAACCAATAATAGACTCTATAAAGGTTGGACGAATCTAGATGAGCAATAGAGTTAAGCAAAGGCTAATAGTTCAATTTGTATTTTTCCACATAAGATTCTCACCCAAAATGAAGAGCTATTGGAGATTATTTCCCGTCTAGGTTTTATAAACAATGCATCTCATTAACCTCAATTAGCTTTCTAATGCCGAGACCACCTTGAAGTTTCAAGCGGCAAACATTTTTCCAATTGACAAGATGGATTTTACAATGTCCTTTAGAACTACTCCATATAACATTTCTACAAAGTCCTTCAATGACATTAGTGGTTAAAGTAGGCGATCGATGGTCTATATATCGTAAAGAGAACTAGCATAAAGAATAGATTGGGTAAGAATGATCCTCTCTGCTAATGATAGATGTCATGCTTACCATCCAAATAAGTCGTTTTATCGACCTTGTCTATGATAAGGATAAAGCATCCAATAGATAAGGAATTA